GATGTGGGCCAGCTGTTGGAACAGAATTACACAACTGATCTGAGTGCTGCTGCGATGGACCGTTCCAATCATTCCTTGGACTGAGTTGAGAAGATTTTATTTTGGTTTGTCAGGAGTGAATCAGTGTGTGTCTGTTTGAAATCACTTTACTTTTTCCAGGTGTTTTATTGAATGTTATTTTGGGGTCATATAGTTTAACACCGAAAACACATTGAAATCAAGCTAATTTAGTATTTGTATGCAAATAGCTTTCTAGGAATATGCCAAAAGTGGTTGTAATTAAAATAATAATAGGTGATGGCTGCTTGGATGTGAAAGTGGAAGCTCATGACTCAGCTGCAGTGTCTCTGTGGAGCTTCGTAGGTTTGTTCCGTGCATATTTATGGTTTAAGTCATACGACTCTCGTAGCAGACCAAAATCAAACAACAAGTAGAGTAGATATAGTTTAAATATACTTATATTTACTAAATGTATTACACCTGAAACCCCCTGTCAGGATCAGTACGTATGGAACTGGGACACAGCTCTCGCTCTGCTCCAGTGTTTTCAGTTTCCGAACACCGCGGCTGCTACACAGTCCCCTGTGCTTGTAGCTTTTTGACGTTTCTATCATATTTCTCGAATAGTGACTTGGTGAAGGCTCCGGCTGCCATGTTTTTACTCTTGTCCTTGGCAGATCAGAGTGTGTGAGTTGTACATGTGAGTGAGTGTGTGTGTGTATATGTGTGAGTGAGGGTGTGTGTGTGTGTGTGTGTGAGTGTGTGTGTGTGTTCAGCCACTGTCCCTGAGTCATGAACTGAGCTCCTCTCAAGCGTAGACGTCCGCAGTCTGCTGAGGCTGCTGGCGCAGAAGAACTAGGCCAGATTTGACACACTTCACAAGCCATGCTAACCCTGACACATTATTTCTTCCCAGACCACGGAGGAACAATCCCAACTACGAATTCAACACAGCTTGAGACCAGACGAGAACACGAGGAACAAATCCATGGATGAGATGTTATCAAACAGCTGGACTGGAAGTTTCAGGAACTATAAAGCTGTTATCAGACATGAACTTGTAAAAATGTCCAGACATTATCCAGACTTTCACAGATGAAGAATGCAACAAGAAATGATCAGGACATATCAAAGGTTCTTGAATCCTTTTTAATCTGCTTCTTTTGTTCCTTTCCTTTATGGCTCCTCTTTTTCATTGTGAGATATTTGTTTTAGTTATGTTTTTTATTAAATCAGAAATGTCATCAACACGCCCACTTGCTCACAGTGAATTCTCCAGTGAATGTCTCAAGCAACAGACTCTGACATTTCCGTTTACAGCCCCTCTTTGCCGCATTCCATCAAACCTCGGAGCTGGGAATTACCGACCCCCAAGTCAGAAGTTGCTACTGAATGACCTCTCAAATCAGAACATCAACTCGGAGGGCCGGAGGAACCTCACCACCTCCAACTACGTAACCCAAGATGGCTGCTCCATTTGTCAACAGTGTAGATTTTACTGTTTATTTGCACTTCTATCATTAAATGTGTCGTATATGAAATGCAGCGTTATTATGAACTGGTTTTGCTAACAGTGGCTAGCTGGCTAACGTAAACATAGTTCCGTTCAGTCACGTGTTCTGTTGTTCTTGCACGTCTGAAAGCAGTTTAAGCCTGAAACAGTTTTGATGCAACAGCCAAGAAGACTTTGAATCTCCTGGCAAAGCGAGAATGAGATTTTCATGTTCAGTAAACCCACAACTGCTCGTGTAAATAATAAACAGCCTGGTTTGTTGCATTTGTGGCTCATTAAACGGCCACGAATAGTTCTGTGAAGTTTAAAGAGAAGCTTTAATCAGTAATAGCATCAAACCAGTTTGTGAGGCCCTAACTGGGTCAGAACTGCGCTGGACAAGATTCGCTGGTGGGCAAAAGTGTAAAACAGGAGGTTTTCATCTCCAGACCCCCTGTGGTGTTTTTTTAATGTGGCTGGAAAACCACATCAGCAGCATCAAAGCCCGGTGGACACCCTGACACTTTATCATCCACTTCTCACATCTTTAACAGGCTCCACTTTTCCTCTGAAAAACTCTGCTTACTCAGCACTCGACCAACCTCAACCTGCACGGTGTGTCAGCCCTGTAATAATAGTAATAATAAAGAATTGTGCTCCACCAGCTGTAGTCTGTTTATTTCCATGCAGACTGAGGGGAGAAATGGCTGAGCCCAAAAACACGGCCATATGTTTAAACCTTGTCCTATGAACCCAAAACAGGATGTCACAGCAGGCCCTCCGGTCACAGTAACACACACACACACACACACACAC